GATTATATGCTTTTTTCTTTATTTAAAACTTTGAACATGTTCATGAACTTTGAACCTAGGTTCAATAGGAACACTATATATATATATAATTTAATTTACTAGTGATTATACAATATATCACATAAATCATTTATAAAATTATTATAATAGTTATCAAATCAAAAAATTCTACTTAAATGTTTCAAGTTATAATTTTGTTTAAAGCTATAGCTAAAACTAGAAGCTAATAATTTTTTAGCTATAATTTAAAGCCATAGCTTAAAGGGTCTTAAGTAGTGATTAGACTTGTCAAAAAATACCACCTGGGTTATCTACAAGTGAACTCATAAGCCATCTGGGTAGAAACCAAATAGGTTAAAAAAAGCAATCTATTAAGTAGATATATAAGTCACCTAGGTGAAAATAGTATTATGCATACCTATATATACAAATATATTTATAAGCAATAGTTATATCCTTGATAGTTTGTTTTAAAAGTCTAGTATTAAAAATATAATAGTAAATTTTTTGTATTAAAGTTTATTACACTTAATATATAAAAAGTGTAATAGTAATTCTTAATGTTTAAAAATTTACCTTTGATCTATTGAGTGGGTATTTAAAAACACTCTTAGTCTAATATAAAATCTAGTTTTGAAAAGTTTTTTTTTAAAAAAATATATATAATTAGTAAAGTAATTGCAATTATTGTTCACAGGTTATCTATTAGATGACCTACTTAGATAGTTAAAACTTTATCTGAGTGGTATCTACTTAGGTCCAATCACTAGTTTTAAGCTATAGCTAAACTAAAAACCAATACCTTTTTAAGTTATAATTTAGTTATAGCTTAAGTTATAGTTTGGCTTAGCTTTAATTAGGCTTGGCTTAAATTTATAGCTAAAGCCGGCTACTAGTAAAGCTACTAATATCTTTAATGAGTTATTTTATTGTCTTTTGTATTTGATATTTTATATTCAAAATAATACATATGCTATGAGAAGAATTAATTTCATTAAATATTAAGTTTAGTTAATATCTCAAATATATATTAAATACTGTGTGTTTAGTAAGATGTAAATATATATATATATATATATATATAATTTCTTTGGCTTTGTATTACCAGCACAAATAAATAAATAATCCATGCATGTTAGTTCTTAAAAAAAATATAATTTGTAAATATAGTATTCTCAAATTTTTTAAATGTTTTTAACATTAAAAATATTAGATATTAAACACTAATTATAATCTGTTTACAATATATAGATCTTTGTCTTGAAAATGACTTTATGGTACTATAAATTTTTTTGAGTAAACAGTATAATCTTTACAAAATTTTTTATTATTGGATAAAGATTAATCTGTATAATAATGCCTATGCAAAATTGATGGTATCCACTATGATTAATTATTTCTATTCTATTTTTAGATATTTTTTGTCAAATTTCCAGACTTCCATAACTCGTTTTAATATTAAGTTAACCAGTTTTAAAATTTTGCACAAAATGAGCTTTGTGTTTCATAAATTAAGATTTAGCAAAAATCTCAATTTTGGGTTAGAGCCCTATTTTCAAGGCAAAGACTCTATATACTAATAAAACCATGATTATAAAAGCCTTTTAATTTATAAAAAATTTTTTTTTTAAAAAAATTTATTATCCCTTAAACCGTTTTGTAGTTTTTGCTAGAACAACTTATGTAAATTATTATGCCAATCTCAATAAGATTAATATTGGGCATACTACTTGCGTAGAGCTTTTAGTCGATATTACTTTTGACCATTTTGAACGGCGTCCTACCTTTATTTTCTCTTTAGTTTAGTGAAATAGCCCTTGCAAAAGTCATGTTCATACATCACTCGAGATGCTACTGGATATACCATTTATTGAAATTCTACTGTTTTAAAGTTCTGATATCTGACAAATTCTAAATATGTGCGATTATTAGATAAATTTTTACAGGTAAATTTGTCTGGATCAGCTTACGGTTTAAGGGTTGATTTAAATTTTAAATTTGATATCTCAAATAATGATAAGTTTACTAAACTATACAAATAGTATTTAATATTGTAGCTACTGTATCTCAAAATTTTGCTAAGTAATTAACACTTGATGTTTTAAATAAAAGTATTTAAAACTTCAGAAAACCTTATATGATACTAACTAAATATTGACCTTTAATATTAGCTATTATGACAACACCCTAACTCAGTGTTATCATCTGGCCACTTGGCAGACCAATTTGGCCAAATATTTACCTGTTATCGTTATGTAGCAAAAACTAGTATATAATATAATTGACTAGTATATAAATTAGGAATTTTGGGCCAAAAGGTTTGCCATTAACCATTGGCCGGTGGCCAGTTTGTCAGCAAAAGCCAAAAAATTAACACTGCCTTCATTTTAAACCTTAATAGTAAATTTATGTGTAGGTTAAACACCACTGGTGAATACGTACAATTTAAAAGATACTATATGAGTGCCGCCAAGGAAAACCTACAAGTCGTACTTTTTGAATATTTACTTAAAATTAGGCAATTAAATACCTATAATTTTAATATCATTTGAATCATCTTAAATGGGACGATTCAAATAATATTAAAAACAGTAGGTAATGATTTTAAGTTATTTTTATTAAAATTTAATATTCAAAAAAAGTACGACTTGTAGGTTTTCCCTTGGCGGCACTCATATAGTAAAAATCATATTTTTTTAAATATCTTTTTTAAAATGATGAAACCTTTTATTTTAATTTACAGAAGTACTATTGCGAAATAATCCCTAGTCTAATATTCGAAACTGATTTTCGAGACAACACCCTGAAGCGTTATCTCATGATAATACGAATAATAAGGGAACTGATAAATTTTAGAAAAGACCCATTACTGCATTACTTTAAGAGGATGATAATTATACCAAAGGGTATATATATTGATATTAATTTCAATTCATATGATAAGTGTGTTGTTCAGGATGTTAGTAGCTCACCCACAAAAAATTTTCCGGTCATGTGACTTTTTATGGCACTAGCCAATTATATTTCAAGATCAGGTGTAACGTGAAAATCAAAACAATCAAAACAATCGAATAAAACAAAAGAATTAAAGTAACAAATTGAGAGTTAAGGTTTGGGTTAGACACTTTGTTAAAGTGTTGCTATTATCAAAAATTTGCAAGGAATTTTTTTTGTTAATGCGCAGAAGACGATTTCATAGACAAATTTTAGAGTTTTTAGTGATTTTTTATAAAAAAATATAAAAAGCGTAATTTTTATGTTACACCTGATCCTGAAATTCAATTGGTTTGCGCCACGATAAAGTCATGTGACCGGAAAATTTTTTGTGGTATAATTACATAGGTTGTAGATCAGATATGCAACAATTTCTGAATTTATAAGCCGAGTCTTTCTAGAATATTATAGAGATCTTAGAGATCTGCAATTAATGGAAATGTCCATTTTATAGATTTTTTTCTAACCGAAATTTGATTTCTAACATGATCTAACTTATAACAATGATTTTTCGGGTAATAAAAAAAGCGATTACAAAATTTGTTTGTCATGCGTATGCATTTATTTATATTTTTTTCCTGAACAAAATTATGTACTAGCTTCGGAACATAGCGGTAGCACCAATAGATTTAACGTCACATGATTAAAATTAATAAGAGTTTCATAATAAATTTAAACCGTCACGTTTTTTTAAATCATTAAAAATTAATAAGGAAATTTTGGTTTAATTAAATTTGCAGATAATTGTTTTCTGTAAAAGGGCACAATTTTAAATTATAAACATGTGCAAGGATGAGCGCGTGTAACACGACGTTATATTATAGTAAATCATATTATGCGAATTGTGCTATTACACGAATAATAAATGATTTAAGAGTGTATAAAAGTATTGGTTATTAACTAAATCCAAACGTGAGTGGAACATGTAATGTTATAGAAAGCATAAACAAATAAAATTTACTGAACCGTTTCACTACATACTATTTTAATCGAACTTAGTGTTATTCCTTTAAATCGGTTAAGATTTTTTAATCGAAATTAATATATTATAAATGCAACAACGATAATGAGTATCGGTATTGATCTTCAATATATAAGACTTTTATTTTACACGAATTATAAATAGTTACAAATTTAACAAAAAATGTATAAATACATTAAATGTATTTACTTTGATTCCTTTTATCCCTTTTTTTTTTGTCAATTGGGATTATCAAAAAACGACCATGGTTATATTTCGCGACTATCCGAATTATTTGCTTGGTCTTAAATGCGTTCAATTATTGATCTCTGCCCTGGTGTTTATGTGTGGTATATACTATTTAAATAATATAATCCTTTTAATTTTATCCGAAAAACATTTTTTTTTAATACGTTCTCAATTTATATAGAGCTGATAGAAATTATAGGTTATAATCAAAATATAGCACCTTATACTAATGGTAATGATGATTGGATTAATAATTCGAACGTGATTAAAGAGTAATGATTGATATTATATACATTTATTATATATAAATTGATTCGATATTAAATGTGAAAATAATATTTTTATTTATTTTATTTTATAGAGAGATAAGCGACGACGGATCAACCAAAAAATTTTGGGTTATTGCTGTTTGTGGTTTAACAATTTTAAGCAATGGTATGTTCTTATATTATTTAGACGTTTTTGGTTTATCAATTATAAAGTATTAATATATCATTTGTTTTAGTCATTTACGTGTCCAAGTTCAAGAAAATATGGAACAAAGGGCCTTTCTTTTGGTTGGAATGGTACGACTTTTTTTATTAATTAATTAAGAATCGTAACTGTAAGGGGTGCAACAGATATTATTTAGCAAATTAATTGAGGAAATTTTGAAACAGGAGGAATAATGATATTTTTGAGCCGTTGAGCATTAGCGAAACGAACTTTCCTTTGTATGCACAAGGCCCATGATATTATTAAATAGTGTCGAGTAATAGAGTTTTGATCCGGTTTTAAACCGATTGAAATTGGGTTTAAATAAAACCGCTTCCAAACTTTAAATAATATAATAAAAGGATATTAGCTAATATCTGTCACTGCCTTAGCAAGAACAGCAACATTTTAATTAATTTTTACTTTTCTTTTCTTTTTTTTTTTTGTTTATACATTTAAAATAGCCTTTTATTCGCCTTCTGGCTTAGTGTTGGTAAGTTCTTAAACCCCTTTGACACTACCTCACCGATGATCATTTTACGCATTAACTAATCATTAATTTTTAAATATATATATAGCTTTAATAAATATTAGTCCAGTTTATAGAGGATTTAATCTTTCCAGCTGTAAACAATCAAATAATGCTTTAGACTTGGATCCAGTTTGCCATGCTTGGATAGCAAGTTTAGTTTTAAGCTGGATTTTATTTGTAACATATTTTGTATCAATAATTTTCACTTGGCGTGCATCAAAAGAACGTCTTAAAACTGGTATTGACCTAAGTTCCTTGCCTTCACCTAAATCGCCTAAATCACCTAAATCATATTTAGAAAAATACGAGCAAAAATTATCTGAATTAGAGCAACATGAACAGCAAGTTCCTCAGGTGATCACTATACCAGTAATTGATAAACAATCTATGGAGGTAAAACAAGATGTTCCACAACAACAAACTCAACTTTTATTACAAAGTGGTTTACCAGATCAAGGAATTCCACTTCAAATTGTTTTACCTCATAGTAGCTTTCAAACTACTAGTCAAGATTTTGAAAATGATGAAAGCGAACATCAAGAGGAATCTCAAATTTCTGATGAAGTTTCACCTCCAGTGATATCTATAACTTTAGCAAAAGATGATAAACATGATGATAATTTTACCGATTCTAACTTACTAAATGTTCCAAGTAAACCAAAATCAGAAACCTCCTCATTACATGAAGTTCCTCTTTAATTATTATATGTATTTTAAATTCACTATATTTTAATAAGTAATATATAAAGATACCGATTTAGTGTAAAAACAAATTCAATTGTTTAACGCTTTTGACGATTAGATAAACTATGTACTGTATAATTTAGATTTAATCCCCCATGTTTAAATAAATATTTCTAATTTTTTGCATATTTACTTGTTTTACACTTTATAATTTTTATTGTTACTTAAAGGCATGTATCTTTAAAAAAAAAAAATAATTGGCTCTAATCGTTTTAAATTTAGTACGAAATCCCGAAGAACTAAATCCCGAGTAACTAAATCACGAAGAACTAAATCCCGGTGGTACTAGATCCCTGGCACTTGAAAACCCGAGGAACTGACAATTAATTAGCCCAAAAGCTAACTTACAGCTATTATCATAATTCCTGAAACACCTGATAAAAATTTGCCGAATGATTGTTTGGCCGATTCGGTTAAGTAA